AAACGGCAAGAGGATCTCTGTGATGTGACACAGACCAGAGAGTGCCCCCACACCGTCCATTTGACTAGAGATTCACTGGGGTCTGTTTAATGGTTACCCAATCTCCCCCCCCCCCCCCCCCCCCCCCCCCACACACACACACACTCAGGACAGGTTAATGATTTCCACTGCTGGGGATATCAAGGTGGCCTTATTTTATTAGACATACAGGCGCAGCAAATGGAAATAGTCACGTTGCGCCCTTTATAAAGTCGACAGATAATACATCGCTAAGGTTGTTCTTAAAGTTGTTTTTTTTTTTTTGGGGGGTGGGGGGGGGGGGGCAGAAACGGTGGTCCAGTTACTCCACAGATGGGAATCGGTGAGTTCACTCATTGCGACAGATGCCCCATCGCAGGAACCTGTCGCTGACTTTGATGTCAGATGGAGATGGGGTTCCAGCGCTGTGAATGGCTCGTTGGGGGCAGTGCAATGGGGCATTGGTACTGAGATCTATCCCCCCCCCCCCCCACCCACCCCCCCCCCCCCACCCCCACCTCACTGGTTAGGGGTTCAACATCGAAAGCAAATTACCGAACCACATTCATTCAATTGTAAGAAAAGGACTAACAGTTACATGGTTCTCTTTAGTAAACCGCTGTCTTGGCAGTGGTGGTGGTGGGGGGTGGGATGGGGGTGGGATGGGGGGTGGGATGGGGGGGGGGAGGTTATGCGTTATGGTTTATATTCCTGGTTTAATATTGACCTGATTTTATGAACTCTCGCCTTTAGCACTCCATCGCATATATCTGTTCAGAAAATTCGAGCCTCCTCGCAAGTTTGGACGCTTCGAGAGCCTTCTGTTACATTGCACTGAGAGAACTGTTTGGATTCTGGGCCGAAAGAGAATAAAATCCATGTGTTGGGCTTTTCTGGAATGCTGAGGACCATTGGATCAGCAACTCGGGTCATCGTACGTGTTGTAGCAGAGTCGTAATCCATTCATTTCAATTCCACAGCATCTTATAAGGGATGTGTTATTTTTTTTCCCCCCCGCCCTGACTTCTAGAAATACTGTAGAATTCTGGAATAGATAGAATTAAAAACAGTGCATCCGAGAAGAGATCGGATCGCCCGAGCGATGTTTAAGCTTCGTTATGTGAAGTCCGATTTGGAAAGTTTTTTTAAAAATATAATTGCATTTTACAGTCGCTGCATTGTGACATTCGTGGGTTTATGATTTGCTTTGTGGCTGCGCCCTCCAAACGATACACAAAACAAAACTGTAAATAACCTCCATTCCCCCCCCCCACCGGACCTGGAGTATAGTATATCAGGTGTTTACAGAGCCACATATATATATATATTATATATAATCATCCAGTTTCGGAAACGTGATGAGTTGCTAATTGCCCATTATTAATAACTATTCGGGTGTTTTCTGAACACGTCCTTTTCTTTTAGAGAAACCACCCCCCCCCACCCCATCCCCCCCCCCCCCACCCCACCCCCCCACCCTATCCCCCCACCCCACCCCACCCCCGCCAATGTGATGCGGGCTATTTTACACCGGTGGAGAACACGAGTATCCGCAACACCTCACCCAAGAGTTGTTGCAGAACTAAGCACTGGGCGACTCTGCAACCGCAACTGCCAGTGTGTTTGCACAGAGCAGGAGGCAGCGGAAGACCTGTTTCAGGAGCCAGTGGGGGGGGGTCTCCCCCCAATACGGTTGAACCTCAGCAAACAGCAGATAGACTGTTTTGCAATGAATGGTCGATGAGAATGTCCTCCCAAGGTGCGCAATTGCATACGCTGCGACGCGGGCCACAGTGGCAGATAAGTTTGCGCAAATGTGCACCGGGGTTTATTTTTGGGGACACTTCGTTGGAGCATCACTTTTTGCAGCGTTCACTTCGCCAGCGTTACGGTGGCGTTTCTTTCGGGATCATTCAATCCACTGTGGCAACAATATCACTGCAGTACTCCCGTGTGGGAGTACTTACTGTGTAGGCGTTTTAAACTCCTCTGTAGGGTTAAATGCAAGGATTATTATTATTATTATTATTATTATTATTATTATTATTATAAATAGTTAGCGGTGTTTGACATACTCTGCGGTGCTCTGCAAGGCAGATGGATGTTGAAACTAAATTCAGAAGGAAACCGACTACAAACGTGTCCCGACTCCATCTTCTGACCAAACATTGCAGGTTAAAGGATAACCTGCAGCTTGAAGACTTTCAACATAATAATAATAATAATAATAATAATAATAATAATAATAATAATCCTTGCATTTGATATAGCGCTTTTCACGTCGGGAGGACGTCCCAATATAAAACATGTGGCACAGAATTTTTTTTTTCTGGGGGTGGGAGTGGGGGTCGGGGGGTGGGGGGGGTGGGGGGGGGGAATTAAAATTGAAACAGGAGCCTCTGCTGGCGTGTATGTTTTCCATAGTGAACGCCTTTCAAATTTAAACCTACCCTAGTTGAAAACAAATGAATACTCTCATATTATATATTATATGTATATTATATATATATATATTATGGTCAAATAATGCGTTCTGACCTGTTACAATCACTCAAAGGGAAGTGTCCACCAGTTCCCAACAACTGCCAAACCAGACACAAAAAGCCACCCACCAGCATTACAGATATATATATATATATATAGAGAGAGAGAGAGAGAGAGAGGAGCTTTAGCTGAGAGTGGAAGTGAAGGGATTGTTTATATAAAAAGACGCTGCAAAAACTATTGTCTGAACATGTATAGAAATGAAAAAATAATCTATTGCAAAGATTCTCTCTCTCTCTCTCTCTGTCTGTGCCTCTGTCTCTCTCTGTGCCTCTGTCTCTCCCTCTGTGTTTCTGCCTCTCTCCATGTCTCTGTCTCTCTCAGTGTCTCTCTCTCTCTCTCTCTCAGTGTCTGTGTCTCTCTCTGTGCCTCTGTCTCTCTCTGTGTCTCTCTCTCTCTCTGTGTCTCTCTGTCTGTCTCTATCTGTGTCTGTCTCTCTCTCTCTGTCTCTCTCTCTCTGTACCTCTGTCTCTCTCTGTGTCTCTGTCTCTTTCTGTGTCTGTCTCTCTCTCTGTGTCTCTCTGTGTCTCTGTCTCTATCTGTGTGTCTCTCTCTCTGTGTCTCTGTGTCCCTCTGTGTCCCTGTCTCTCTCTGTGTCTCTGCCTCTATCTGTGTCTGTCTCTCTGTGTCTCTCTCTGTGTCTCTCTGTGTCTCTGTCTCTCTCTGTGTCTCTGCCTCCATCTGTGTCTGTCTCTCTGTGTCTCTCTCTGTGTCTCTCTGTGTCTCTGTCTCTCTCTGTGTCTCTGCCTCCATCTGTGTCTGTCTCTCTGTGTCTCTCTCTGTGTCTCTCTGTGTCTCTGTCTCTCTGTCTCTCTCTGTTTCTCTCTGTGTCTCTCTGTGTCTCTGTCTCTCTCTGTGTCTCTGTGTCTCTCTGTGTCCCTCTCTGTGTCCCCCCCGTTCCCTTTGCTTCGCTACTCAGAAGCTGTGACCGTGGTGTGACAGTCCCCCCCCACTCCCCCCCCCACTCCCCCCCCTCCCGCATCTCCACCAATCCGAGTGGCCGGCGGTCTCTGGCCAATCAGCAAACAGTGCCCGCCTCCCTCCTGTGAGTGGCGGGCGGGCGGAGCGTGCGATTGGTCGGCGAGCGGTGGGGGTGGGGGGGGGAGTGTGTGGGGGGGGGGGGGTTACACACAGGAGGCGGGGCTTGTGATCGGCCGCTGTGATTGGTTGGGGCTGTGTGGGTGGGGTGGAGGGGGGTGATTGTCGGATAAGCCTTTGGCTCGTTCTGATAGGTCGGTGGTGGTGGTGGGGGAGGGGGTGGAGTGGGGGGGGGGGGGTGTTTGGGGGTGGGGGGGGGGGGGTCCTGGCTCCTCCCAGCCCCGCCGTGTGAGTGACAGCAGTGGGGGGGGGGTGTGGGGGGGGGCGATGCTGTGGTCCCGCAAGGTGGTGATGGTTGGGTTGGAGGTGGGGAGGGAGGGAGGGGGTGGGTGGGGGGTGTTGGGGGGGGGTGTTGGGGGGGGGGGGTGTTGGAGAGGGGGGTGTTGGGGGGGGGTGTTGGGGGGGGGGGGGGCTGAGCCTGGAGCGAATCAGCGCTGCTCACCGCGCGGGTTCAGCCACATTTAAACAACTAATGGAGGAGCATCGACGCGACTGAAGGCGAGAGCGCTGCAAAAAAGAGAGAGAGAAAGAGAGAGAGAGAGGAGAAGAAGAAGGAGAAGGAGAAGCAGCAGCAGCAGCAGCCCCCCAAAAAAAGGGGGGGGGGGAGCAGGAGCATTCACTCAACCACTCCGCCGAGGTGGGGGAACGAGAAAGAGAGAGAGAGAGAGAGAGAGAAAAAAGAAGAGCGAGAGAAAGAAGGGGAGAGAGAGAAAGAAGGAAGGAAAGAAGGGAAGGAAGAAGGAACGAAAGAAAGAAAGAAAGAAGGAAGGAAGGAACGAAAGAACGACAGAACGAAAGAGAGAAGGAAGGAAGGAGAAGAGAAGAGAAGAGAAGAGAAGAGAAGAGAAGAGAAGAGAAAGAGGGAGAGAACATCTACCACCTACCCACCTTCTACCTCTCCATCCATCCATCCATCCATCCACACACACACACACACACACCACCAGCAGCAGCTACAGCAACAAACTCTCATTGCACAGGAGAAACGTCAACCCCCACCCAACCCCATACCCCCCACCCCACACCCAACAGAAAACAGCAACAGAACAACAACCAAAAAAAAAGGAAGAAGAAGAAGAAGAAGAAGAAGAGATAAAACCACACACACACCACCAAAAAAAAACACACCCCAAGAAGCTGGAATTCTTGTTGGATATTTTTGTTTCTTCTTCTGTCGGATTGTCTGTTGGGGACGATTTTCCCCCCGAAGTTTCCAACAAAATAATCGCTGCTGTCACTTGGCCAGAACATTTGGATCAGTTGTTGTGGTTGTTTTTTTTTTCTTGGAGGGGGTTGTTTGTTGGTGGTGGTGGTGGTCGTGGTGGTGTGTGTGGAGGAGAGGAGAGGAGAAGAGAGAGAGAGAGAGAGAGAGAAATATCTATTTTTTGGGCACTGCGTTTGACAAACGTAAAGTCTTTCTTTTTTTTTAAGTTCCTCGCACTCCCTCTCTCCCTCCCCACACCCCCCAAAAAAAGAAAAGAAAACCAAACAAAAATCCGACTGACACCTTGAAGATCCCAGAGACAGAACACACAGAGGATCTGGAACATTTTTTTTTAATATATATTATACAGACAACGACAAAAAAAAACCACAGAAGTGGGTGAGATCGAACCCGCTCTTCTTCTTCCTCTTCTTCTTCTTCTTCTTCTTCTTCTGGGTGGTGTGTTTTTTTTTTCTTCCCCTCCTCCTGCTTTAGTGGGTGTTGTTGCTGATCGCCCATTTGGAGTACAGGTGGAGAGAGAGCAAAAGAGAGAGAGAGAGAGAAACACCCACCCACACCACCCACACCACCCACACCCACGCACACGAGGAGCGAAGGGGTTAAAATCCTGCCTGGGAGCCTCGAGGTGTTCTCCAAATCGAAGACGTTGTCCTCCTCCTCATCTGCTTCTTCTTCCTCCTCCTCCTCCACCTCCTCATCCTCTTCTTCTTCCTCCTCCTCCTCCTCCTCCCATGGAAATCCACTGTAAGCACGACCCGTTTACAGCAGTGCATAGTAAGTAGGCAGCTCGTTCCCTCCGCTTGTCTTGACACTTCCCAGTGAGTGAGAGTGCGTGGGGAGGGGGGGGGGGGGGGGGGTACCCGCAAACCCACCCCACCCCATCCCCATCCCCATCCCCATCCCATCCCCATCCCATCCCCATCCCCAGCTACTGCCTCTGCGCACCGAGCATCGCAAAGTCTTGGGTGGGTGTGGGTGGGTGGTTGGGGTGGTGGGTTGGGGGGGAGGGAAAGAACCCCCCCCCCCCACACACACACACACACCCCTGTCCCTGTGCAAGCAAGGCAGACAGGCCAAGCAACACGTGCCAGGTTGTAACATCACCTAAAGATCACCCACCCCCAACCCTTCCATCCCCTCCTCCCAAATTGTAGGGGATTAAACTCCTCTTTTAGTTCGATTCCCTAACCTTTGCAAACTCCCCCCCCACACACACATACACCAAGTCCACCCCTGAAGCACAGCCGCAGCATTTCTCTCTTCGTCGCCTAGAAAACTTTGACTGGAGAGAGAGAGAAAGAGAGAGAGAGAGAGAGAAAGAGAGAGAGAGAGAGAAAACACGGGGATTGTAGTCGGTTTAACTCCGTCCTCCCAGTTGTAAACGTGTATCAAATCGATAATACAAATGAACCGGTTGCATTCTCACAAAATTCTGGCAAACAAACAAAAAATAAAATAATTCGACAAGTGACCAGAAAATGGCACAGATGACTTTGCCCACCACCCACCACCCACCACCCCTCCCCCAAAGAAAGAGAGAGAGAGAAGGCGATAAAAGGATTAATTGCAATTAATATCCAACTGCTCCTTCTGTTGTGTTGGGTTGTGTTGTGTTGGGTTGTGTTGTGTTGGGTTGTGTTGTGTGTTGGGTTGTGTTGTGTTGGGTTGTGTTGTGTTGGGTTGTGTTGGGTTGGGTTCTGTTCCTCTGGACTGGGTTATTTTTGCACAAAACCAGTGAGCCCGAAGAGAGGGTGTGAGGCTCTGACCTGTGTGTGTGTGTGTGAGAGAGAGAGAGAGCTCTGATCTTGGGGCCGTCGTGGCAGAGATCTCCAGCACCATTTGCTTTGGCTGATGGAGTGCGCCGGGCGCTTGTCTATTCTGCTGGTGTTATATGATATGACATATCCTATCACGGTGTGTTAAGAGTTATTATACCTACAGCTTGTAAACAGATGCTTTATCAACTCGAACTAATCATATTGTGCAGGGAACTATATACCCACTTTGCAGCCGTACCTCGTTCGACCAAAAGGTTTTTTTTCTCTCCCCCCTAACAGAGAGGAGCAGAGTCAGTCAAATTAAAAAAAAAACACTCCTCTCTCTTTTTTTAAAAATTATTATTATTACTACCCCTTTTCAGGGGGTTTGTTTTTCCAACCCTTCTTGGTGGAAATGGTCGATTTAAAGTTGTTCTGTACACCGGGCAACAAACTTTCCGGGCAGAAACGAATGGTATTGATCATTTTTTAATGTAGCAGGCAGACAATTTTTTTATATCCAGCAGAAATTCCAGCCCTTTTCTCTCTCTCTCTCTCTCTCTCTCTCTCTCTCTCTCTCTCTCTCTCTCTCCTTCTCCTCCCCCCCCCCACCGTTTGAATTGTAAATATTCTTGGTTCCGACTGAGCGTTTTTTGTTAATCTTAATTCTCGTGTGTTTTTTTTCCAAAAAAAAAAGAGAGAGAAAGGAACGGAGCGATAATTAGATGACGGATTGAGTCATCCAAATTTATGGATCGGAGGGAAGGAAATAAAAGTAGTGGCAAGACTTTTTTTTGGGGTAGAAAGGGGGTTTGGGGAGGGGGGGGGGGGGAGTGCGCCTGCTCCCCTGTTTTATTCATCATTTAAAGCAAATAAGCCTGTGATGATCCAGTAATTTCCACGCTTAAGAGACTGACATAAATGGGGTAAACATTCATCGAACAAAAAAAAAACCCTCAGCTGTAAAAAAAGAAATGATCACTAACAAAAATGTTAATTTAACTTATTACCCCAAAACCGGTAAAGTAGGAGTCGAGAGAGCCGCCGGGGAAGCTCTCAGCACTTGGGGTATGAATTCACAGCCCCCTTTTTTTTTTCTAATTTGTCTCAGCCACGTCTTACAGTCGTTTTAAAAGAGGTATTTTTTTTTTTTTTTTAAAATGAAATGATTTAAATATCGCTCAGTTTCGATGACTCGGCTGCGCAATTGCCTTCCCGATCTGGTGAGGGGGACGGACGGCGTTTTAGTTTGTGTTTGTGAGTGCATTTGGATTTGCATCTGATTCGATTTGCGAAGGATAAAAAAAAAAGTGAGGGGGGGGGGGATAAAAAAAACACAAATAAACCCTCACCGGGAATTGGAAAAAATTTAGATTGCAATCGTCTGTCTCTCTCTTCACTGCTTTCGTATTTCCCTTTTCTTCGACCGAATGGTAACTTTTTTTGTAACGGTTAGAAATATTTTTTTGTTGCCACTGTTTTTTTTTGCTTTGCAGACAGACCCCCCCCCTCCTCCCCCTCCTCCAAACAGTTTAATAGCACAGTTTGAAAAAGTCTATGCAATTCGGAATCAGACGGAATCGGCTCAGGTCTCTCATGAACGTATTTAAACAGGAACGCACAATGTTAACTTGATTCCAATCACCAAACCCCCCCCCACCACCCCCTCACCCCCAACCCCAAGCCATCTTCCACTGCTCTGTTTGCAAGACTGTTGCCCCAAGTTTTTTTTTTAGCCTAAAATCTGTTCTGAAATCGTTCAGTTTCACTTTCTTTTTTATATATATATATAACACACAAATCGTACGTGTTCACAGCACAGAACGTCCAATGCAATTGATGATAAACCCTATCGATTGCTCATTCGTACGTTAAATAAACCCAACGATACACTTAAATTCCTGCCCACGGTTGTATGTATGTATATATGTATGTATGTGTGTATGTATGTGGATCATCCATCCAGTCGCCGGACGAGAGAGAATGTGTGAGTGTGATGAGCCTTGTGCTTTGGGTTGAGCTGTGTACCTGGAGTTTGATGCTGTCTCTGTGCTTCGTACATAGGTCGATGGTTTTGTCCCATCCTCAACATTAATTCCCTTTATCTGCACTGTTGTCTGGAATGAGCCAATGCCAATTCTTGCTCCCCATCCCCTGCAGTCTTTCCCCCCTTTTCTATGCGGGGGTCTATCCAACAGTCTGATTGCCTGTGCTGTACCCCCCCCCCCCCCTCTGCATTGTGCCCCTTCGAGCAATCGGTTTAGAAGAGGGGTTTTCTATCACTGCTTCTCTTATGTTTATGTGCGTGTGTGTGTGTGTGTGTGTTTCTGTGTGTGTGTGTGTCTATGTGTTCTGCTGAGGGAACTGTCGGTGGGGTGATGGTGGGTGATGGTGGGTGCTGGTGGGTGATGGGTGGTGGGTGCTGGTGGGTGGTGGGTGGTGGGTGGTGGTGGGTGGTGGGTGGGTTTGCAAATGAAAACTGCGCGCGGGAGGTGAGGCTTGAGTGAGTGCTGGTATTTTACAGTATATTTGCATTGTTTCCCCCCACCACACCCCCCCCCCCCCCCCCCACACCTCTTTTTTTTTCCTCTTCATTTTGTATGTTGTATACAAGGGCATGGCGGGGTGAATCAGCTCGGAGGGGTGTTTGTCAACGGCCGACCTCTGCCCGACGTGGTGCGCCAGAGAATCGTGGAGTTGGCCCATCAGGGGGTGAGACCCTGTGATATCTCCCGACAGCTGAGAGTCAGTCACGGTTGTGTCAGCAAGATCCTCGGCAGGTAAGAGAGAGAGAGAGAGACAGAGACAGAGACAGACCCACACACACACACACACACAGACCCACACACACAGACACACACCCACACACACAGAGAATGTCACACACACTTTGCTGCCCCTGGAAGAGTCTCAATCGCTGGTTTGTTTTTTGCAGGAGCATAATAATAATAATAATAATAATAATCCTAATAATACTACTAATAATAATACTACTAATGATAATAAATATCCCTCGCACAGAAAGTCAACCCGGGTTTAAAGGGAACGAGAAAACTGGAACGGGAATTTCCACCACCAAGTTGCACGTTTCCAAAAGAACTTGGGTGCAAACTCTGACCAGAAATAGCAAACCCCCCCCCCCCCCCCCTCCCCCCACCCCCCCACACCCCCTCGTCGCCAAAATCGACCCTCTATTGCCTCCCCGAAGCAGCAGGACAGCGATCACCATCCATCCATCCATCCATCCATTCATTCGTCAGCCTGTGGTTCCTGTGCCGTAGTATTAATTCGAATAATCCTGCAGGTGAGAGAGTAATAATGGAAAATAATGTGGGCTGGCGAGAGAATCAGAAGTAATTCAAACATAACGTGACAGATAGGAGCAGCAGAAATAATCCAACAAGAAAGAGCGACAGCAGCCCAGACAAAACCCTTCCCCTGCAGGTAATCCATCAAAAAAAGAGAGAGAGAGAGAGAGAGAGAGAGAGAGAAGGATTTTGCAAACAGGTAATCCTTAAATTAAGAGAATCAGATATCAGAGAATAGGAAAAGAAACGATTCGTGGCAGTTCTCGGCGAGTGAAAAGCCACGCAGAGAGAAATGCAGAAAGATAATGCTTAGGGGAGAGGTGGGTGGGGGGGCTGGGGGGGGGTCTGAGAAGTCAAAATAATCCTTTAATATATGTGAACGCTTCCGGGTGAAGGCAGTCAATACCTCGTAAAGGTACACAGATTAGACAAACGTGCGACACGGGCACTGACTGGCAAAAGGCTGCAGTGTCACCTGCAGTCCTTACCCTCAGGGGTACAGCAAACCTCTTTATTTTTTTTTTTTGGGGGGGGGTTAGATCTGCAGGAAATGGAAGCCTTGGGGGGGGGGGGGGGGTGGGGGGGGACTTGGAAACTGCATCTTTTCTTTTGTGGTTTCCTGGTCAGACTGCACAACCATTGCCATTGAGGGCACACAGTGAGCATCTGAGAGAAACAAAAGTGAACTGGTGTAATGAGGGTTAGATACAAGGCTGACACACTCAGTGTACACACACACACACACCTACACACACACACACACACACCTATACACCTACAGGTACAGACTGAGACGCAATCAGGGCGACAGTCATACACACAGTTGCAGAAAACACGAGGAAATTCAGACATGCCCATCGCTGGGCACAGGGGCTGGCAATACTTGCACACCAACACCCCACCCCACACACACACACCACACACACACACCACACACACCACACACCACACACAGACCCACAGGTGGGAAACATCTGTGCACAGTTACACCAAGTCAAAGGCACAGCGTTTACCAGAGCTCACGTGTGTCGTGCGCCACAGAGTCCATGCGAAATAATGAGTATTTTTGAATGCAATACCCAATTTACGCGAGTTTAGCCTCACACTGGGACCAAACGTGGAGTTTACCCGCCCTTCAGAGGTTAACTAGGGTTAAATATTACAGTAAACAAAGTCACCAGAAGGGTAGAAAATGTGCGTGTGTGTGTATAATAAATATACATTATATGGAATATATATATATATATATCTGTAGCCTCTCAAGAATGAACCAACATAACACTAACCCTTGTGCTAAGATTGCGAGCAGCAAACACTCCAGTAACAAACCGACGGGATTTCCGAGGAGCAAAGCTACTCCAAAGCCCTTAAAGGACAAATCATATTTCAGGGACGTGTGAGGTTTTTTCCCCCCCCCCAAAAAAAAAAGAGAGAGAGAAAGAAAGAAAGAAAGAAAGAAAGATGCAGATAGAGAGTCTTGAGAGGGTGGTGTCAGGACGATAAAGGTCAGTTACTACTGCAAGTAAATTGCACCCTCTCTTACTCTCTCTCTCTCTCTTACTCTCTCTCTCTTACTCTCTCTCTCTCTCTTACTCTCTCCCTCTCTCTTACTCTCTCTCTCTCTCTCTCTTTTTCCTCTCTCAGTGGGTGTGGAGGTGTCACTGGGGCACAGGAGCTGCATTGCAAACTTTTTTTCTTTTTTTGGGGGGGTGGGCTTTTACTTAATCCTGCAAAGTTTTTTTTTGGGTGGGGAGGGGGGGGGAGGATTTGGGATTCAACACACACCTGCGCACACTTTATTATTTTTCCAGCCCCCCCCCCACACCTTTTTTTTTTCAGTTGAGCACTGGATCAGAACTTTTGGTCCCTGAAGGGGACAATAAACGTCTCCAGTCCGGTTTGAGAGCATTTCAAGGCAAGAATTACCCACTGGGAAATTCTGGCAGGGATTGGGGTCTGAAAGGAGCGCAATCCTTCTCAAATAAACCTTCAGCTAAAAAAAAAAAGTCAAAAAAAAAAACCGACGACGTGTTATAAATGCACCACTTTTTTTTTTTTGGTTGGGTGGGGGGATAAGGGGGTCATAACTAGCAATAAATAGTCCCAACCCGCTCCCAGTGAGGCAGAGAGCAACATTGCATCGGTGGTTAAGGAATGAGCCGTCAATTCTGGGGACGTGGGACATAATAACAGCACATAACGGGCAAGAACTGGGGGTGCGGGGGGGTGGGGGGGAATAAAAATATATATAGATAGAAACATACTCGTCTCTCTGAACTACTTAAGATCATAGATTTACTCAGGCTTTGGACCAGACCGTAGATCCAAAAATGAGACCAGCCCTGGTCACGAATTTGTGTGCAATGTTCATGGCATTTCGATACAGCGCCTGATCACATCTCCCAGACGTCCGAAAGCGCTTCACGGGATATACGGTAAAGTGAATCGACTGTATATTTTGTGGGACCGAACGCGGCGGCCAATTGCGCACAGAGGTGTCCCCACGAACAGTGACCATATTATTATCATTATTAACTGTATGTGCACTGGGGCTGGAAGGCGCAGACCACCATATTTTGTACATTTTGTGTTTTGTCCCAATATCGCTGTGTTTTCCGTGTTATTTAGAGGCAATTTGCAACATAATATGCCATTGCGAATGCTGTGCGCCGTAACGCGAGGCTTAACGTTGGATTTCGAGACCGAGTGTAACCCTCAGTGAGGTGTTTTGGGTGAAAATCCAGGGAAAGTTACAATAAAAGATATACTGACCCCAATTGACCACCAACACCCCCCCCCCCACCCCACCCCCCAGTCAGATTGCAAGAGGTAAACTTGTCCTTTAATGGAGTGACTCAGCAGAAGTCAGTCCAACATGAGTTATTCATTTCTATCAATCCTTGTTATTGTACTAATTATCAGTCAATTCGCTCGTTACTAGTAAATTAGGATATCAGGAAATTAGGATATTAGTGAATTAGGATATTAGTAAATTAGGGTATTAGTAAATTAGGATATTAGTAAATTAGGGTATTAGTAAATTAGGATATTAGTAAATTAGGATATTAGTAAATTAGGATATTAGTAAATTAGGGTATTAGTAAATTAGGATATTAGTAAATTAGGGTATTAGTAAATTAGGATATTAGTAAATTAGGATATTAGTAAATTAGGGTATTAGTAAATTAGGATATTAGTAAATTGGGATGTTACTAGTAAATTATATTATTAGCAAATCAGGAGGTTACTAGTAAATTAGGATATTAGTAAATTAGGATATTGGTAAATTAGGATATCAGTAAATTAGGATATCAGTAAATTAGGATATTAGTAAATCAGGAATGTGACTTTACTAATCATTCCATAATGAACTCACAGTTACTCAGTGCTTCGCGCGTTGCTTAAAAATCCGCTCTGGATCCGCTCAAAAACGAGCGTCGCCCCAGAAAAACCCGGTGAGGAGCTGCGCCAAACGGACCAGAGGGTTCCCCGAAATATTCAACCGGTCAGTGCAGAATTTCCTGGGACTCCCCATTACCCCTCAACTTCCATCGACTGATTTCCCACATCAGACGCGAAGGACTCGTGTGTGTGTGTGTGTGAAAAAAAACCCACTGCCAGAGATCGATGTGTGACTTGGACAGACAGAGAAAACATTCAGTCAAATAAATGGACCAAATAGTACAGGAGGAAAGGGAATCAGAGTTAGTTGTGTCCTGATCTCCTGTCCCTTATAGTGGGGATTTATATTTATACATTTATATTTATATTTAGAGAGAGAGAGAGAGAGAGAGAGGGGTCGCAATATTGCAGCCAATGTTCACTGAGTCAGTGCTCAGCTCTCTCTCTCTCCCTCTCTCAGCAACTCCCTGACCGGTTGCAATGTCTTTCTTTTCCTTCCTTCAGGGACCTCTTCCCCCTTTTCTTTTAATTGGGACTTTTCTGGCAAGTTCCCTTCCTTTCGGGCAAAGCCCAGGAAAAAAAGAAAAAAAAAACAAAAAAACTTGCTCCCCTCCTGCAAAAGGTTTTTTTTTTTTTTTTTTTGTTTTTTTTGCGCGTTTCGGTTCCTTTCCTCCTGGACGTTTAAAACCGTGTGAGACAGTATTTGCGGGAGAATTATTTCAGGTCAGAAATTCTTAACCCATCACCATCCAAATGCACTTCCCCCCCCACCAAAAAAAATAACTGCTATGTGTGTGTTTTGCAGAGGGCACTCACACATATAATTACAAATGAGGTTGTCATTGTGATTTTATATAAATGCTACAAATAGCGATTTATGTATTGGGGAACGTGTTATTACAGTCAAGTTATCTCTCAGCTATTATTCCGTTTAACGATACAAATAAGACTGGAGGGAGGGATGTGTTACTGTGAATCTCTGCTCCACGTTTAAACCTTCATTTCTGTGGGAAACTCCATTTTATTCACACAGGAATTATTATTTTTTTTGGGGGGGGGAGTGGGAGGGT